GTAGTATTTAGTTTTTTAAATTGTTGCACTATATCACATGAGTGCAATTTCCTTTTATGAAACCCTTGAAACTAGTGATTGAAAACAGGCTATCGTTGCAATTTACTATGAAAAAGGGATTTCACATATATATGTCGATCACTTAAATTTCATAGTAAAAAAATTACCCCAGTGATCTGCGTGACATCTTGACTGACTGATAAACCATACACTACGTACGTACGTACTTCGTACTCCGTTCCTGATAAAGGTTACGAATAAGTCACGAGGACCAATCAAACTTTTGATTTTGATGACGCACGCCATTTATTTTGCCGTATAACCCTACACTTCGTGATTTGCATCACTCCGTTCCTGGTATACACTTCGTGATTTCATCACTCCGCTCCTGGTACACTTCGTGATTGCATCACATTCGTTCCTGGTATACATGTTTCTTGTATCATAATCAAATAATATTTAAAAGTAATTATTCGTTCTCAATATAATTGATCTATGTACCTCGAGAAAAATCAGGCGAATTTGAGACACAATCAAATTTTAAACATCTTTATTGGAGTCGATGATTTAAGAAATGATTTATTTCAACGTGCTACTACAATTACTCTATAGAGGTTACAGGATAAAAACAATCATACCTATAGAGTTAATGTGACGTATAAACATTGAAATAAAATATTTCCTAATTTATTGACTTTAATAAAATTTGATGATTGCAGAAAAACAATGTACAACAAATTTTGTCCATATTTTAAGAACGGCTAAACTATTATAAAAACAAACAAATGCTGTAAAAAAATATTAAGCTTAAAATCATCTAAAACAGGTTAGCCGTTCACAAAGTATTCACATGATGCTACAATGAATCACTGACGCTCCAAGCATTGCTCAATGATTTTGTACGTACTTAACTGAATGTTAATGTTCATAACATTTCTTTAAGGCTATAATTGAAAAATAGATTGGCCGTTCATAAAATATCGGCATTGAAATAGCTTATTTGCATTGTCTTCCAATATAATTTTGGAGATTGTATTCGATAAGAAATTTCTATTCGGGTATAGTATTACGAAAATTTTGTGTTTGAATTTTCTTTGTTATGTACGTACACACCTTATTGATGCTAATAATTTAGGAATTATTTGATTTTTTTGTTTATCGTACCATGACATTATTTTGAAAATTGCACTACTTGAAATCCGAAATAGTAGGTACTACGTGAAATTGCACTGACCATGAAATAATTTGTCAGTCACTTCTATCGGGCAGTCAACAAATATATACTGAGAATATTATATGTAAATAAAAAAAAACTAGGGGCATCGCGAAAAAAAAATAACCCCTGCTTGGTCTTTTCTAATGTTTCACGAGATTTTCTTTCATTTATTCCAATTTAAAGTTTTGTATTTTGTCAGATAGATTTCAGGCTTGTAGGTTTGTTTTTTGTCACCATCAATAAGGTTTCGTCTAACTACTATAAAGGGTAGTCTTATAATACGATAAAAATCAATTTGTTTTCGGCGCAAGCTTATCAAATAGCGCACAGAAAAAAAATAAAATAAAAAATTCATATTCTCTTATGCTTTAAATAACCCACGTACATTACATCAAACACTTAAATTTTTTTAATTTTCACTAATAATAAAGAGAGCTTATAGACAATGAGTGAAAACCCCGAGGACAACACGATCAAGACAGACCCACCTAAAGAAGACTCCGAGGGTCATGATATGTTTTGGAATGAAAGAAAATATAATCTCATTAAATTAAACAAAAAAATAGAAAAATGGAAGAGGCTTCGAGCTGTTTCTTTCCAACGTTTAGTCATTGCAACTGCTATGTGTCTATTTTCACTTGGAATTGGAGTTTATCTCTTTACTCAAAATGAAGATAATGTAAAATCAGTTGTAAAGCTCATTTCGACAACTATTTTTGGGTCAGGAGGCGTTGCAATTCTTATTTCAAGCTTAATGTCAATTAGAAAACTTTTTACTAAGGAAATAAATAAAAATAAAAAAGATGATGAACTTGAAATAAAAATTAATGATCCTGTTGTTTCGAATTCAATAAAAAATTGTCCCAGCAAATTAGATTCAGAATTATCACCTATATTGTTCGTGGAGGCACTTGTTAAGCATATACATATTATGATGATTTGTCGCACTATATGGATTTCAATAATGTCATGTACATATATTATTTTATCGATAATTGCTATTTTTCTAATGCTTTACGAAGCAGAAATATTTATATATCGTTATTTAACAATTATTCTCATCGGGTTTTCCTGTTTTTGCTTACTGGAGGTCATTACTGTTTCTCTTTGTATTACATATTATGTTCCCCAGATGGATGTAGTTAATGTAAAGAATAAAGAGAAGTCTAAATCATTCAAGAATAAAGATATGCACATATTAGTTAATGAAATGTTAAAATCTATGTCGGGCTATCTAATGAAACTTTATAGTGGAATTGATAATGAACTTAATAGTGAAAATGATGAACTTGATAGTGATAATAATGAATACAATAATAGTGATGTAAGGAATAAAAAGGATGAAGTCTTATACATTACTATTGCTTTGGTGATTATGTTGCTAATAGCACGTAATATATCTAAATTACAAAGATCACTTGAAAAAACGCTTAGAAAAACAAGAAGAATCAAAGATTTTAAAAGATAAAAATGAGGTTTATCTAAAATGCATAAAATCATTGTTAAGAATTATAAATGTTTTTATGGATGCTATCGCTGCTGAAGACACTGGTAAATTTATAGAATTTTTCTCAGTGGTTGATAAGAAAAACAATAAAGTTAAATATTATCATGATAGAGCGATTGAACAACAATATATAAGGAAGGCACTGTTTACAATGAAATTATTTAAAAATGATTCTTTACCTAAAGAAAAACATAGTTGTGAAACAAAAAATTTATCGATAAGAAAATCGAAACTTATTGATATTGAATTGTTCAATTCTATTAAAGATAATAATTATATAGATAAGGTGCTAGATTTGGTGGATTTACTTGAATCAAATAAAGATAAACTTGGTACACTTAATACGAAATTATTTGAGCCTTTTAAATTTCAAAGTTCAGATCTGAAAGATTTGAAAGATTTGATAGAAGTGTTCTTAATCCAAGAAAAATCATCTGAATCAAATTTGGATAAAATAATGCCAAAAAAGATGAATTTACTTGTCAAATTGTTTGAAAAATATAATAAAAAAGACTTCTTTCAACTTTTGGAACTTGATTCTGAATCTGAATTTGAAACTGTGAAGAAGATGTTAAAAAAAATCGTATTATTTAATGAAACATCACAAAATAATTTATTCAACTATTTTGAAATAGAAAATAAGACGTTAGGTTTAGTTGATTTTAGCAAAGATTTACTCAAAGATTTGGGAATTACTACTACCGAATTGCTAAAGATAAAGAGGATGCTAAAAAAATTGATATCACTTGAAAAATTAATTAACTCTTCAGATAAATTTGATACAGATTTACCCAAACCTATTGAACTCGATACTATATTGTTTGAAAATAAGCAATCACAGGATCTAGATGTGTATAAATTAATAGTTAAAAATTTTAATTTAATGATGGTTGAAAATATTAAAAAGACATCAGATAAGAAGGAACTAGATAAATTATCGAAAGACGAAAATGAGAATAAGGATATTAAATCAGAGTATAACAATGATGGCAACTCATCGATAGTTAAAAATATTGATGATAATAAATGTCCGAAACTGGGTGAATTGGTAAAAAAAATAGAGACAGAAATTAGATATAAATCGAATATGGCCTTAAATGATAATCCAGTATTAAAAGATATTGATCTGGATGATTTAGAAGAAAAAATAGGGGCAATTTTAATAGGAATTAAAAAGAGGATTAGTGAATATCCAAATGATGAAACAAAAAAGATAGAAGATGAAATTAGCAGTTTAAGAACTAAAGTAATATCCATAAAAAATGAAGCAATTATGGAAAAGTACTTTATTAGTAAAGTCGATATATTTGATAAAATTTTTGGTCAATATAAAAATGAAAAGAGTAACTTTCGGAAAAGATGTTTTCTATTTTTTTTAACGATTATTTTTTTTCCTAGTCTCTTTTTAATTGGCTTGATATCATGGGAAAATGAAGATTATCATTCATATAAGTCACGCAAGTCATACATAAAACATCTTAAGAATGAGCATCAAGAATATAAACTTTATCGTAAAAAAGAGAAGAAGTATAAAATAAAATTAAACAGAATTGAAATGAACAACAAAGAAAAAGAAATAATCAAACGACTTCTTTTTGGGTTGTCAATGGATAGTAGCAAATTTGTTTAATTGAATTATCATAAAAATCAACTCTTAATTTAAAGATACTTATATATTTACTTATCTATTTAGTTATTTATTTTTTTATTTAAAAATTGTAATATTGAGAATGCTTTAGCTAATTTATTATAATTTTGAGTATATTTATTGTACATTTAAGAATAAATAAAATTAGGCATATTTTAAAATTATTTATAAAATTATTTAAATATAACTTGAGAACTATATCATAACCATACCAGGAACGGAGTGATGAAATCACGTAGTGTATACCAGGGATGAATGCAATGAGTACGCTGTTTTAGGCGATATTCGTCAAATTTTGCTTATTTTTCACACATGTGTTCGTCACGCTATTATTTTTTTAATTATTATTTAACACAGTAAAACGATACACTTAAGTTTGTGAAGCTTAATTTGTTTCTTTTTTCACTATTTTAACACAGTAAAACAACACGCTTAAGTTTGTGAAACTTGATTTGTCTAAATTTGTTTCCTTTTTCAATATTTAAGATGATTAGTTAATATTACTATCTCATTTAAGCGAAAAATTGCATAGAAAAGGCAAACCTCCGTATCACAACTTTTATCGCGTTGTATATAGTCTCTAGCGCATGCTTATGAACTGATCTGATCTGAGCTGAGCAACAGCATAGAAAAAATAACGAGTAAATTTAACTGCATATCATTATAAACAATATCAAAATATTAAAAAATACGAAATCCTACTGTAGATTCACATTGCGAGATTCTTTGTTTTTTCGCTTTCAGTTTTTTTTGTCTTTGGATTTTTTTCCGTGCTGATTAATTGATAATCATCAATTTGAGCGAGACTTTCGTTTGTTCAAAGAAAAATCACAATCCGATGCTTTTTTTTTGTTTTGTCGATCTACGCCAAATTGTGGTCAAAGCCTTATATTAATCTACACTAGCGTAACAAGTGGCGCTACGTGCCACCTCTTAGCACGTCCGTAATCTGACAGGTTAAGCCACTGATTTCAATTACCGTCTGACTATTCCTTAAATCATGATGAAAAAGAAGGCTTATTATTATGAAGTTGAATATATAAAAAACGATTTGATCATATTTGAATATTTATTTTTTTTTGATTTTATAAATTAATTTTTTTTTATCTAAATTAAGAAAAGTGTGCAAATTAAAAGTTTAAATAACCCTATCGACTTCTAATAAGACTTAAAAAATTTTTTTTTAATAAGGTCCTTCAAATGCCTCGCAGATTATGCAAATTTGGATATATTTTTAAAAAAAAACATAAATCGGAATTAAGAAATGGAAGAGAACGATATTTCCAGCATCACTTTATTTATTAATTACTGATTTATAAAGGTGACAAACACCTATTTTTGAAGGTTATTTTTTCTTTTTAGTTATTAATTCAAACTGTCAAAATTTTAGGCCAACATTACAAATCGTGTTAGATAAACTCAAAAATCAGTATAATGTAACAAAAATAAAACCTTCCGAATACTTTTCTTCATGATTTTAGTCATAACTGGTCAATCAAAAGTGCTGCGAAAACATGAGTTCATAAATAAACAATATGGAAGAAAGAAGAATTTAGCTCTTTTGAGTTGTCTTCGTTCAAAAAAGGTCAAATTATAAAAAAAGTATCATTTAAGTAAGAATATGTTGAACAATTAGAGGAATATTTATGTGGTATTCGTTATTTTATTTTTAAAATTAAAAGTTTTTTATTGTTTTTATATAAATAATATCAATTCCACATCTTAATTTTTTTCTGTTGCAGAAAGTAATGAAGATATATATATTAATAAGGCTCAAATGGGAAATGATCTTTAACTGCATTATTAATTGCATTAATTCCTGATTTAACAACAGGGAATAATCCAGTTTTATATAGAGGAGATATTATTAAAATTAAGCTAGGTGGGGATGGACGGCAAGTAGGTCGATATAACAATCATGTAATGCTAACAGCATGCATTTTAAATGAAAAAAATGAAGTACTTAGTCTGAATAATCAATATTGGCAAGTATATATTCAATATAATTTATATATATAATTTTTTTAATATATTAAATTTATTAATAGTATTTGTCTTTATTCGGGAACTGAAAAACATGAGTCATTATCAATTGCACATCAACAAATTATTGATGAGCTAACTGTTTTACATCAAGAAGGTTTTAAAGATAGTGATGATATTTATTGGAAAATTGAATTCTGGTTTACAGCCGATTGGAAATATATGTTATTAGTTTTAGGAATCAATAGGCCAACTTCAAAATATTTCTTTTTATGGTACAATTGTCACAAAAATGACCGGTGGGATGTAAAAAAAATTTGGCCAAATACAGGAAATTCTAAAGGTATGAATTATAATATTATTTATAATATGATTAGATATATGCCAATAATCTCTTAATATCGATATTTATACTATATGTTGAAATTTAATAGCTAAAATTTGATAAACATACTACACAACTAATCAAAAGAATAATTACAAAAAAAATATTATTAATTTATTAATTTACTTTAATTTAGGTCAAATTCGTGCAAGTCTATTACCATTTCTTATTTCTATACATTGTATATCTGATAATTTGCATTTAATGCTTCGAATCACTGATGTGCTACTTGAATGTTTTTTTTTTGAACTAATGAATAATCTAATTGCTTTTAATACAACTATTCGAGAAAAAATAGAGCATACAATGCAAATCATTGGTGTTACTAATTTTAAATTTCTTCCACCTGAAAAAAAAAACCAAAATGGCAAAATGGAGCTGGTGTACATTGATGGGACCAAATAAGTTACAAATCATTAAAAAATTTCCTGTTTCAAATTTTATTACTGGCAATAGGGGCAAAGATATTGAAAGCTTGTGGAAAAATTTTTATTCTTTGTATTGTACAATGCAGAGTAACAGCTTAACAAAGGATGATATTGATCAGGTTACACAAGATGCTTGGAAATGGGTTCAAGAATTTGCCAGACCAACTAAAAAATTATCAAATAGTCAAATTATACAAGAAGGATTATATCAACGTACTGATATAACTCCTTATATGCATGTTTTGGAATGTCATCTACCATTATTTATGCAAGATCTTTATCAACAAAAACTTTGTTTAAGATGGTTTACTACATCAAGCATAGAGAAAAAGAATCACGAACATGTAAGTATATCATTATTATAAATTAAAATAACTACATAGCTAAAACTAATTTATTCTATTAGCAATTTGAAAATTGGCAAATATATTATAGAATAACCAAAATACCTACTAAATATTCAAAAAAATTATTAAAAATATAAATTAAATTTATATAACTAAATATTTTTAGCTTGTTTTTGCTACACTGCAATAAATTTATTTTTAATTAATTCGCTATATTATTTTAACAAATATTTAATACATAATTGCAATTTTCTAATTATTAATTTATTTCAACTGTTTTACGACATAATTCTAAAATACACTTCAATATTTCATGAGATATATAATGCACTTTATTATCTGCTTGTTTTGTAATTGATTTTTCCTGCCAAATAAATTCAATATTTTTTTCAACAAGATTACCATTGTTGTCTTTTTCTTCAACTAATACAAAGGTTTCACATCCAATTTCATTTTTTCTCTTTCCCCAAGAATTGCATCCTAGTATAGTTCCTATTCGGTCATATCCATTTTGTCCTTTGAAAATACAAAAATATTTTCGTAAAGATGGCCGATATGAAAATCCGGATTCATTTGAAAAAAAAGTATAAAATAAGCTTTCTGGAAAATTCCATTGAAGATGTTTTAGACCTTCATTTGATCGATGAAAGCCTAATTTACTATTAATATCATGAAGAAGCACAGCGCGAAAATGATTAATAATTCCTTCAGATAATTTAGGTAAATGTTGGTGGTGTGGAACAACACGGTTTATATTATGTTTGGTATTTTCATGACATCTTAATGATGATTTCGAAGAATATGAATTATTACAAAGATGGCAAGAAAAAGGTTTGAAAAGTGCCATAATATTATTACGCATAAGATTATTCTAATTTAAATACGTATCACATGACTATCACTTCGTTATCACCAATTTTCAATAATCACAGTACTCCTAAACTTTTTTTCAAAATAAGTGAGAGTTTAAAAGGACCTATTTTCTTTTTTAAAATTCCGAATCAGAAAGTTAAATAAGCATAGCCGGTGATAAAATTAGCTATTTTTTTGATAAACGTTCATCGGTAAATGTTTATGTAAATAAGTACATACTTTTAAAAAAATAGAATTTGTACGTTGCTTATTTTGAAATAAATACGCCACTTATTTTATCTGAAATCGGACGCCGAATCA